TGAGGGGGGAGTAGGAGTATATTCTAATAAGGAATAAGGATAGGAGTAGGAGTAGGAGTAGGAGTAGGAGTAGGAGTAGGAGTAGGAATAGGAGTAGGAGTAGGAGTAGGAGTAGGAGTAGGAGTCAAGCTAGCCAGCTCGAGCGAGTCAAGCATGGCATGCCCAGTCCCACCCGCCCTCCCACAACATAAGAAGCAAAGCTGGCACAACTGGGGGCCGAAGTCACACCGGCCAGCCGGTTTGGTACAGCTGATGCGGCCGCGATGGCGGTTGCCGACGGGAACTGGCGAGCGCGTGTTGAATGCCGCGCACGCATTGCCAGACGAGTCGAGAATGGCCCGGTACACCGCAGGAAGCCAGAGGTGGCCGGAGGAAGCCCGACGGTCTGACAGGACACCCCAAAGCATTTGTGTGAAAAAGCATCGGGTTTTTGATGTTTTTATGTTGAAATGCTTGCAGACACACGGTGTTCGGTAGGATTCTGACATGAACGCGCGAGTGTGCTCTTTGTGGTATTTTTTGCGCAGGATTCGCGGCCTGGGTGCATGACAGAGCATCGCGAGTGCACCGCGCGATGACGTGAAATCGCTGGATTTGACAGAATTCTTAAGATTCCTATGGTTTTCCTATGATTTCAGCAAGAGAGCCCGGGCGGGAAATTTATACAATTTTTGTGAAAAAAAAACATTGGTTCTTTGATGTTTTTATGTTGAAATGCTTGCAAACACACGGTGTTCGATAGGATTCTGACATGAACGCGCGCGTGTGCTCTTTGATGTATTTTTGCAATGGATTATCGTCGTGGACGACAGGACGTCCATGTCGAGAGGAAAAAATAAGAAACATGTTGATTTTGTATTGTTTTTTACAGGTTAGGATGGGACCGCCCGGATGCGGCCCCTATCTGCCGGCCTGAGGGGGGAGAGTAGGAGTATATTTACACTGGGCAGTCGTGAAAGGAGTGGTGTAGTAGTAGATGAGGAGTAGTAAGTAGTAGTAGTGTAGTAGTAGTCGTAGTAGTAGTAGTATAGTAAGTCCTGTCGTAAGGTAGTAGTAGTCAGTAGTATTAGTATTAGTCGTAGTGATAACTCTCGTCGTCTTGTGTGGTGGTGGTCGTCGTGGGTCCGTCGTCCGTAGTCGTCGTCGTAAGTCATCGATCGTCGTGGTGTCGTCGTGTCGTCTGTGTAGTCGTTGGTAGTTAGTAGTAGTAGTAGTCGTACGTAGGAGTACGCCGTATAGTGTAGTAGTCGTATTAGTCGTAGTATAGTAGTAGTCGTAGTGTCGTAGTAAGTATAGGTAGTATTAAGTAGGAGTAGGAGTAGGAGTAGGAGTAGGAGTAGGAGTAGGAGTAGGAGTAGGAGTAGGAGTCAAGCTAGCCAGCTCGAGCGAGTCAAGCATGGCATGCCCAGTCCCACCCGCCCTCCCACAACATAAGAAGCAAAGCTGGCACAACTGGGGGCCGAAGTCACACCGGCCAGCCGGTTTGGTACAGCTGATGCGGCCGCGATGGCGGTTGCCGACGGGAACTGGCGAGCGCGTGTTGAATGCCGCGCACGCATTGCCAGACGAGTCGAGAATGGCCCGGTACACCGCAGGAAGCCAGAGGTGGCCGGAGGAAGCCCGACGGTCTGACAGGACACCCCAAAGCATTTTTGTGAAAAAGCATTGGGTTTTTGATGTTTTATGTTGAAATGCTTGCAAACACACGGTGTTCGGTAGGATTCTGACATGAACGCGCGAGTGTGCTCTTTGTGGTATTTTTTGCACAGGATTCGCGGCCTGGGTGCATGACAGAGCATCGCGAGTGCACCGCGCGATGACGTGAAATCGCTGGATTTGACAGAATTCTTAAGATTCCTATGGTTTTCCTATGATTTCAGCAAGAGAGCCCGGGCGGGAAATTTGTACAATTTGTGTGAAAAAGCATTGGGTTTTTGATGTTTTTATGTTGAAATGCTTGCAAACACACGGTGTTCGGTAGGATTCTGACATGAACGCGCGCGTGTGCTCTTTGTTGTAATTTTTGCAATGGATTATCGCCGTGGACGACAGGACGTCCATGTCGAGAGGAAAAAATAAGAAAAATGTTGATTTTGTATTGTTTTTTACAGGTTAGGATGGGACCACCCGGATGCGGCCCCTATCTGCCGGCCTGAGGGGGGAGTAGGAGTATATTCTAATAAGGAATAAGGATAGGAGTAGGAGTAGGATAGGAGTAGGAGTAGGAGTAGGAGTCAAGCTAGCCAGCTCGAGCGAGTCAAGCATGGCATGCCCAGTCCCACCCGCCCTCCCACAACATAAGAAGCAAAGCTGGCACAACTGGGGGCCGAAGTCACACCGGCCAGCCGGTTTGTTACAGCTGATGCGGCCGCGATGGCGGTTGCCGACGGGAACTGGCGAGCGCGTGTTGAATGCCGCGCACGCATTGCCAGACGAGTCGAGAATGGCCCGGTGCACCGCAGGAAGCCAGAGGTGGCCGGAGGAAGCCCGGCGGTCTGACAGGACACCCCAAAGCATTTTTGTGAAAAAGCATTGGGTTTTTGATGTTTTTATGTTGAAATGCTTGCAAACACACGGTGTTCGATAGGATTCTGACATGAACGCGCGAGTGTGCTCTTCGTGGCATTTTTTGCACAGGATTCGCGGCGTGGGTCCGCGCGATGACGTGAAATCGCTGGATTTGACAGAATTCTTAAGATTCCTATGGTTTTCTTATGATTTCAGCAAGAGAGCCCGGGCGGGAAATTTGAAGCATTGGGTTTTTGATGTTTTAATGTTGAAATGCTTGCAAACACACGGTGTTCGGTAGGATTCTGACACGAACGCGCGCGTGTGCTCTTTGTTGTATTTTTTTGCAATGGATGATCGCCGTGGACGACAGGACGTCCATGTCGAGAGGAAAAAATAAGAAAAATGTTGATTTTGTATTGATTGTTACAGGTTAGGATGGGATTACCCGGATGCGGCCCCTAATGGCCGGCCTGAGGGGGGAGTAGGGGTATATTTTAATAAGGAATAAGGATAGGAGTAGGAGTTAAGCTAGCCAGCTCGAGCGAGTCAAGCATGGCATGCCCAGTCCCACCCGCCCTCCCACAACATAAGAAGCAAAGCTGGCACAACTGGGGGCCGAAGTCACACCGGCCAGCCGGTTTGGTACAGCTGATGCGGCCGCGATGGCGGTTGCCGACGGGAACTGGCGAGCGCGTGTTGAATGCCGCGCACGCATTGCCAGACGAGTCGAGAATGGCCCGGTACACCGCAGGAAGCCAGAGGTGGCCGGAGGAAGCCCGACGGTCTGACAGGACACCCCAAAGCATTTTTTGTGAAAAAGCATTGGGTTTTTGATGTTTTTATGTTGAAATGCTTGCAAACACACGGTGTTCGGTAGGATTCTGACATGAACGCGCGAGTGTGCTCTTTGTGGTATTTTTTGCACAGGATTCGCGGCCTGGGTGCATGACAGAGCATCGCGAGTGCACCGCGCGATGACGTGAAATCGCTGGATTTGACCGAATTCTTAAGATTCCTATGGTTTTCCTATGATTTCAGCAAGAGAGCCCGGGCGGGAAATTTGTACAATTTTTGTGAAAAAAACATTGGGTTTTTGATGTTTTTATGTTGAAATGCTTGCAAACACACGGTGTTCGGTAGGATTCTGACATGAACGCGCGCGTGTGCTCTTTGTGGTATTTTTTTGCAATGGATTATCGCCGTGGACGACAGGACGTCCATGTCGAGAGGAAAAAATAAGAAACATGTTGATTTTGTATTGTTTTTTACAGGTTAGGATGGGACCACCCGGATGCGGCCCCTATCTGCCGGCCTGAGGGGGGAGTAGGAGTATATTCTAATAAGGAATAAGGATAGGAGTAGGAGGAGTGGAGTAGGAGGATTAGGGAATGAGTAAGGAAGAGTAGGAGGAGTAGGAGGAGTAGTATTATTTATTAGTAGATTAGTATTAGTAGTAGTATTAGTAGTAGTATTAGTAGTAGTATTAGTAGTATTGTAGTCGTAGTAGTAGTCGTAGTCGTAGTCGTAACCGTAGTAGTAGTAGTAGTAGTAGTAGTAGTAGTAGTAGTAGTAGTAGTAGTAGTAGTAGTAGTAGTAGTAGTAGTCGTAGTCGTATTCGTAGTCGTAGTAGTAGTAGTAGTAGTAGTAGTAGTAGTAGTAGTAGTAGTAGTAGTAGTAGTAGTAGTAGTAGTCGTAGTAGTAGTAGTAGTAGTAGTAGTAGTGGTAGTAGTAGTAGTAGTAGTAAGTAGTAAGTAGTATTAGTAGTAGTATTATTAGTAGTAGTAGTAGTAGTAGTAGTAGTAACAGTAGTAGCAGTAGCAGTAGTAGTCTTATTAGTAGTCGTAGTCTTAAGTCGTAGTCCGTACGTAGTAGTAGTAGTAGTATTAGTAAAGTAGTAGTAGTACGAGTAGTAGTAAAGTAGGCAGTAGTAGTAAGCAGTAGTAGTAGTAGTAGTAGTATTAAGTAGTATAAATTAGTATAGTAGCAGTAGTACAGTAGTAGCAGTAGTAGTAGTAGTAGTGTCGTATAGTGTATTAGTAAGTAGTAGGTCGTAGTAGTATATAGTAGTAGTAGTATGTAGTAGTAAGTAGTAGTAGTAGTAGTAGTAGTAGTAGTAGTAGTAGGTAGAGTAGTAGTTAGTAGTGTAGTAGCAGTAGTAGTAGTAGTAGTAGTAGTAAGTACAGTAGTAGTTAGCAAGTGGCAGTAGCAGTAACAGTAGCAGTAGTAGTAGCAGTAGTAGTAGTAGTAGTAGTAGTAGTAGCAGTAGCAGTAGCAGTAGTAGTAGTAGTAGTAGTAGTAGTAGTAGTAGTAGTCGTAGTCGTAGTCGTAGTCGTAGTCGTAGTCGTAGTCGTAGTCGTAGTCGTAGTCGTAGGACGAGGGGGGAGGGGACGATCTACAAGTCAACCACCCATTCCCGTACCTCCCAGGAGGACGCGAGACGAATGAGGTTATCCTCGCCCTCTCCTTGGGCTTCGGCAGAATCCACCCAGGCGGCCTCGGCCTCCGCGCGCGGTGGGGGGCGCAGCGGCGGGAGGCGCAGCAGCTGTCCAGCACAGTGCCCCCCTCGCACGCTCCGCACGGTGGCTCAGCGCGCCCCTCCTGGCCGGCGCACCCCGTGAGCGGCGTGCACGGCGGTGTCCCACAGCGGTCTGGCACGCTGCTGCACCTGGCTGCGGCTTCGGACGCCGGCACGCCGCGCCGGGATGGCTCGGTGTGCTCGGCGAGCAGCTCGGACGGCGGCGCCCCGCAGCCGGCCCGCACGGCACGCCCTGCGGACCGCGTGGGCGACGGTGCCTCCTGCCCGCTCCGCGCGGAGCACACAGCTGGCGGCGTGGACGCTGGCGTCACAGGGCCCACGCGCGCGGGGCACCCCCTGCGCCCGCCCCGCGCAGGGCGCGCAGGGCGCGCAGCGGGCGAGGCTGATGGCACCAGCTCCTCGACGTGCTCCCCAGATGCGGGCGGCGAGGGCGGCGGCGGCCCCAGCGCCTCGCGGCGGCCCCGGCCGGTGCCGCCACTCTTGCCTCTTGTGGGACGGGGCGGCGGGGCGGCAGGCTGCCCGAGCTGCCCCGCCCGCCGCCCGACCTCGACGGACGGCGGCACCTCGACGAGCGCCCGCCACGCGCGCCCAGAGGGCGGCGCCACGCGCTGGGCGCAGGCCGCGCGAGCGGCCGTCGGAGGCCCACAGTCCGCGCGGCAGCCGAGGCGGCCAGGCGGCGCACGGGCGGCGGCGGCGCCGGCCTCGGCCTCTCCGCCAGCGGCCGCAGACCGCGCGGAGGGCTCCAGGCGGCTGCGGTCCCTGGAGGATCACGTGCTCGCCGCGTACGACGCGGTGCGAGGGGCGAACGCCCCTAAGCTTGTGTGGAGGACGACGGACAGCGAGTTGGACTACGAGCAGCTCCGCCCTGGCGAGTTCTTCAACCACTTCCGGAACAACAGGGCCCTCACCACCAAGGCCGGCTTGGCGAGCTGCCTGGCGCAGAGGGCCGGCTCGGGCGACTGGAGGAGGGTGGAGGCTTTCTTTCCCCGGTGCTACGACCTCGCGCAGCCGGCCGAGCGGGGAAGTTTCGTGCTGGACTTCCGCCGGGGCGCGGCGCTGAAAGTCGCACTGCTCCACCTTCGGCTGAGGTCGCGACAGCCAGCGGGTGCCGCCGCGGGCGGCGCTGCGCCCTCCGGCGGCTACCGCTGCAACTCGGACGTGCTTCGTGTGGTCGAGCGGGTCCTCCGCCGCTGGTGCCTTGATCTGGACCCGGGCCACCTCGACGAGGAGGAGGACGACGGCGCACTGCTTGCGCAGCCGAGCGAGGGAGACTGGGACGCGCTCGTGCTGTACAGCCAGCTCGGGGAGGGGCAGCTCTTCGGCGAGGTCGGCGACGAGGGCCTCGTCATCCACGCCAGCCGACGCTACCGCATCGGCGGCGGGCTGGCGCCCGCTGAGCGCCAGGCCCGCCTGGCGCCGCCCGCCGCCCGGGTCGAAGACTGGCTGGAGTTCGAAGGCCACCATTGGGGCTCGGCCGCGGCCGAGGTTGACGCGGGCCTGCAGGAGGTGGCGTCGCGGCTTGAGGGGCTCTTCGGGCAGTGGTCCCTGCAGGGCGGCTGGCTGGGCAGGAACGTGTGGATCGTGAAGCCTGGGACGAGCTCCAAGGGCAGCGGCGTGGAGTGTATGCACACTCTGCCCGAGCTCCTGCGCCACTGCGACATGATGCCAGGCAGGGTCGTGCAGAAGTACATCTCGAGGAAAAACCACAAGCATCAACAGAACCTTTCGGATGTCCACGCCGTTTTGTTGGGTCGGCGCAGGGCCCCCCCCTCCCCGGCGCGCGGAGCGCGCAAGGGGCGGCGCCGGAGGCGTTGCTAGGGGGGGGGGCCCAGCGCCAGCCCAAGAAGTCCGCGCGGACCTCCGCAGGGTTACGTTTGTGCCGTGGTTGCTTCCTCTGACATCGAGAGGCCGTTGGTGCTCTTCAGCGGGCGGAAGTTCGACATCCGCCAGTGGGTCCTGGTGCGCTCCGTCCTGCCCCTGCGGGTCTTCTTCTTCAGCGAGTGCTACCTGCGCCTCTGCAACGGGATGTACGACCTCGGGGACCTCCGCGACCGGGAGCGGCACATCTCCAACTGGCAGGTCAACAAGCATGGCAAGAACGTTGTGGACGGCGCCGTGGCCTCCCTCGCGGAGTTCCGCGAGCAGGCGACAGTTTTTTAGGGGTCCGCCGATAACCCGTGTTATCGCGCTTGGCGCCCACCCCCCCACCCCCCGGATAACCTGACTTTGCGCAGGTCCGAAGGGGGTACGCAGTAAGAATGCGCGCGGGGACACTTGGTGCTACCCCAAGCGAGAAGGTCAGGTAATCGGGTGGCACCTTTCCCCCCGTTCCCCCCCAGAGAGCCTGAGGAGGAGGAGGAAGAGGAGGAGGAGGAGGAGGAGGAGGAGGAGGAGGAGGAGGAGGAGGAGGAGAACCAGTGCAAACCCAAGACTCATCAACGATGTTGGAACACACTCTCCCTCCAAGCTCCCTCTTAATAGGCCCCAAACAAGGGTTCATTTCCTCCGAGGGAATTGCCCCGTTGGGGACGTCTGGGTGAACATCCTGAGACGTGCCAGAACACCGTTTCCTGGACTTAAGCGCCGAACTAACCTGACTGTTACGTCTTGGCGATCCTGAATCTTGCTAGAACGCAATTCCTGGAACTTCAACACCGCCAATGAAAATCGCTGTCGTGCCCTGAGTCCGGAATCGCTCCGAAACACCATTCCGGGTACGCTAACCATGCTATTCATTGAATTTCTTGGATTGTGCGCGGCGCTACTGCGAGAACCACAGGTTGAAAACAACCTCCCTCAATCCGTGAAGTCCTTGCATGTTTTGTAAAAAGAACGTGCGAGGCGCGAAGGCGAGAACCGCATGTTGAAAACCATCCGCCTTCAATATGTGAAACTGTTTCATGTTTAAACTTCATGGGCACAACGGGTGAGGAAGTCTCAGGCGAAACGCCCGGCCCGCCCTTTCGACTGGCCTCGGGGTGCGACAGGGAGGAGTTATCCATAAGGAAGAGGAATGGAGGAGGAGGAGGAGGAGGAGGAAGAGGAGGAGGAGGAGGAGGAGGAGAAAGAAAAGGAGGAGGAGGAGGAGGAGGAGGAGGAGGAGGAGGAGGTCCGTAGCAATGCTGGCTCAAGGTCGAGCCCTGTATCGCTGGGGCTCGAGCTTGGAGGTTGCTATCGAGGGGGCGCCCAGGTGCATTGATTCACACCCCTGTAGGGGATTCTTCCTGCTCCGACGGAGCTTTCGTTGGGTCTGCGCAGCGCCCCATGCCCTCCGCCAAGCGCAGTGGCTGCCCGCCAACCATGGAGTCAGCAGGCGTGGACGTGCTGCGTTAAGAGGATGTTCGCCAACAACTTCAGCTGGGGCAAGACGTGCTACTACTGCGGTGTTCCCAGGCCGTCCGCGCAGGACGAAAAGGAACCCGAGCCGCCCGCTGTGCGTGGGCCCGTGGTCTGCCCGGCAGAGGTGCTGCTCACCGTACTTCTGACATCGGCGAGGTGCAGCACCAGGCCGTCCTCTCCATGGACGACCGGTTCGCTGCGGTCGCTGGGCTGCTCCCTGCCCAGCAGCGCGCGCGCGCGCCTGCAGGCGCTGCGGGCCATGCATCGCGGCGACCCCACCGCCGTGTCCAAAGAGGCCAAGCAGGAGCATGACCAGCTCAAGGCCGAGGTGCAGAAGGCCGCCAACACGCTCGAGTAATCCAGCTTCAGGAAAAAACGCCAAGAACTGCATGCCAAGGAACACGCAGCAGCCAAGCGTGCAGCGGAAGCCTTCAATCAGCTCGGTGGTGCTGACGGCGACAGTGGAGAAATTGGTGACAACGGTCTTTGTCAAGATGATCCCTTCGCAGTATTGCGGGCACAGCTGGCGGCCCTGGTTTGTGCAGGCGGTGTGCTCATGGATTTCGACAACTTCATCTCCCAGCGTGACGCCCACATCGTGGCGTACAAAACAGCAACGGCACCAGCTGCAGCGGCGGGTGCTGCGGCCCCAGCTGTTCCTGCCCCAGATCCTCGGCAACACCAGGTGTTCCCACCTTCAGCCGATCTGCCTGAGACGGCGACTGGATCGACGAGCTGCTGGCTGCAGGAGAGCCAGCTGACTGCGGCGCGCCTGCAGCAGGCGGCCATGGGGGCGGAGAAGGAGCCGCGGCGATTCTTGCACGTGTCCAGGGAATCACGCATTCGGCGATCCAGGCGGCCTGCAGGAGGCGCTCGATCGTGCCAAGAAGCGGAAGAAAGATGCCCGGGGGTTAGCGCCCCCCGGGCCCAGTCAGGCCAGAATTGCGGCCCCGCGTGCATCATTACCTGTAATGTTACAAAGCGCTCGGGGCTTGGCATGTCCCGTTCCGTTTCCGCACCTCAGCTGATGCGCTTGCGATCCACGGGGCCCGCATCGTCGATGCGGACCCCCGGGAGGCCGCCGTTCGAGCCCCCGGTCGTCGTGCCCGAGTCTTCCCTGCTGTGCCCACTGGGCGAGGAGGGTCCGCAAGACGCTTGAATTTACCGACCCAGAAGTTCGTCCCGTTGTCTAGAGTGCGTGGGGCCTCCCGCGTAGTGGAGCCCAGCAGAATTGGCCAACTTCACCTTGGAGGAAGGTTTCCTGGAGGCGTGCTTGTGGCTAGCGTCTGCCTGCGTCGCAGTATCGGCTGGGCTCCGCAGAACTGCAGCATCCTTTGTAAGCTGGGCGCCGCTTTGAACTCAATCGGTTTGGCCGTCATGCCGTGCGGCGACTTCGACCTCGAACCAGGGGTGCTTGAGTGCAGCGGCTGGCTTGCCGCGCTCGATGCGACAGTTGTCGCCGCTACCGAGGGCGCGCGCTGGCCAGCCGATGGCGCGCGGATATGACACTGCAGCGTAAGATGGACGCGCGCGAGGAACGCGTGGCGCGCGCCCAAAATTTTCACGCTGCAGGTGCGGCGTGGGCCCCGCGCGCCTCGTGGCGAGCCGCGTTGGGGCAGGGTCGAGCAAACCGTGGATAGAAGCATAAGGTTGCGGAGTTTTGGGTTGAGTTTGATTGGGTGCTCGACTTTGATTTGGTCGTGGCGCGCCAGATCAATCGTGTCCTGGCTCCCGGCTCCCATCGGGGCTCTAGCAATGTTGAGGCTTGATGTGTTCCCCTGGGCGCCCTGGGCCCCGAACTTTCCTTCGGGCCAGTGCTGCGGCTACCTGGTGAAGAAGTGTTGCCGCGCATGTTTCGCGTTTTTGCGAGGCGCATGGGCGTCGCCAAGACCCGGCAGTGCATGGGCGCAGCTCCCAGACTCCAGGGCTCGACCCAAGTCGGCAGCGACTGCGCTGGCTAGTTCTGCGTCGTGCTCGAGCGTCTTAAGCATCCTGGCGTGTGCTATTCGCCAGCTTCTATGCGCGCTTAGCTGACGGTCGACCGCGCGCGCTCGTTCGGCAGCTGGCGTCGCGCAAGGCGGCCGGGTGGGGGCGCTGGGTCACGTCGCTTTCTCTCAACGGCTGCGCGGCGCTTTCTAGGTGCATCTCTTCGCCTGGAACAGGACAGCTCCCATGTCTGGTGCAGTCTATGCCTGCGAGCTCTCCGCAGGAGGTAGGGCTGCGGGGCTGCCCGAGATCGAATGGAGGAACTTGTGGCAGGTTAACGAAGCCAGCCCTCCGACCCCCAGGCCCGAGGCGGATGGCGACCCTCCGCCCCCTGAGTCGCGCGCCTCAAATAAGTCTTCGGCGGCTTTCCTGAGGGCAGGGGGACTGGACGCGACCAGTTGCAGCCCAGGCAGCTGCGAAGCCTCCGGGATGAAGCTCTCGAGCTGCTCTGCCGGCTCGTCTCCATGATGCGGCGCCTGGTCGAATGGCCGCCGATGACCGCGCGCGTCGTTTCTGTCCTCGCGCGGCCTCGCGTGCGCCGGGCCGCTCGGGTTTCTGCGGCGTCTTCGTCGCGCGCAGGCTAGGCCCAGGCGCGACGTCGTGAATCGATGACAGCGGGTTGCTATGCATCAGAATGCGGGGGCCGAGCGGTCATGCGCTGTCTCTGGGCGCATTGCAGAGGCGAGGTTCCGAGGTTCGGATTGTCGTTTTTTTTTTTTTTTTTTTTTTTTGGGGGGGGAAGGTGTTGTCATTGCTTTTTTTTTTTTTTTTTTTTTTTTTTTTTTTTTTTTTTTTTTTTTTTTTTTTTTTTTTTTTTATTTATATATATATTATATATATATATATATATATATATATATATATATATACCCGCTCGCGAGCCGCCCGCGACTCGCCCGCGACGCGCCCGCGGCGCCCCGCGACCCGCCCGCGACCCGCCCGCGACATGCCCGCGACTCGCCCGCGATGCGCCCCGCGACCCGCCCGCGATTTTCCCGCGACCCGCCCGCGACTCGCCCGCGACCGGGCCCGCGCGAGACGCGCCCCCGTTGTTTTATCGTGTAAATCCGCGCCTACGGCAGGCTCCTCGTGCAATCTTCTGCATGCGTTCGGTGCCTGCGGCGCGCTTCTTCAGGGCCTCGCGGACTGCCGACGTCCCCGCCGCCCCCTCGTTCTTATCCGCAACTGCGGGGGGCTGCGTATATCTGGTGGGCTGTTCATGGGGGGCTCCGCGTGACCTCGGGCTGGCTGGGCTGAGTATTGTGGCGATGCGGGTAGTTATTCGGCTGCGCTTCTCGCCGACTTGGAGACTGCTTTCGGGCTCGGTCGGCGTGGGCCTTGCTCGCAGCAGCAGCAGCGGCAGCAGTCGGAACGAAATGTCCCCCTGGCAGCTGAAGTTGCTCTACTGGCGCACAGACCGCTGCGTGTGCTCGATATGCAGGGCCTTCGCAGCCTGGGCCAGGCTGCCGGCCAGACCATTTTGACAGTGTGTTTCTCTCTGTGGCGTTCCTGTTGCCGCCACTGTCGTGAGGGCCTTTGGATGGCGCTCGACAGGAATGCCCAAGTGTGCCCAGTGCCGTGTGTTTGGTGACGTGAGTCGGCAGACGTGTATCGCTGCGGGTTGTTGATGAAGTTGCTGGAGCAGGTTGCATGTTAAGTCATGGGCTGCAGCGAGTCGACATGGTCATGGCCCTTGGCAAGTCGCGCGTACTTGCCAGTGCACTGGGGGTTCAGACGCAGCTTCTGAGGCGACGGGTTTCGGTCAATGCAGTTGAAATGGATTCGGGGCCCAACCGGGGCGTTGATTTCCCCCGTGCTCG